GCAATAAATTATCCTATAAATATTTAAATATTCTATTCTACGAATATTTAACCCTTTGTGCTCGACGATGTTTTGGTTAAAGAGGGGTACGAGTTGAAAAATTTTCTTCCATAAGGCTGATGATATTTTTTGAGCAGCAAATAAGAAATCGTATAATAATTAACACGTGGAATTATTTAATTTCGGTACCACGCACACTGTTACATTATTTTACATCTGATATATTAATTATTATTTATTATTAATATCGAGCTTCGAAATTTTATCAAATGGTGACCTAGAGGCACCTCTCGAGTGCAAAGGGTTAAATATTTAAATATTTAGTTCCCAAAAACAGGATTTTCTGTTAAGATGACTTTATCACGATGAACCCCCTACGAACTTATTTTACGAAAGATTCCAAACACCCATCGCGAACCTAGGTTCCATCCAGCAGCAGAGGATGGAGACTACACCAATAACGAAAAGATCCTGCCGGGGAATTAAAATATTTCGGCGATTAGGCGTCGTGAGACGATCTATTGTCCGACAGTGGCTGAACATCGTTCTCAGGCGTCGAGATAACTATGTATCCTTAATCCCCTCGCGTTTACTTAGCATGAACTTCGAGAGCTTATGCTGATTAGCAAACACAGCCGAGTTTGGAGTACGCTAATCAAAGTTAAGGGACCTACAAGACACCGGTGTGATCCCTCGCCACGTCTCGAGTAAACGGTGTATTCCACGCGTTTGTAGAATTTCGTTCTAGACCCTGACCAGATTACTTCCCAAAGGGTACAATCCTCGAAATTACGAGCGCTAAACAGCGAATATACCCTCGCGTGTAAACCTAGACCTTCGATGTCGTGCACTTCCGGTTTGCTCTTGAACCAACCGTACTCTTCTGCCAAATTTCCATGTAGCGATTTGGCAAACATTGTTCAATGAACCACCGAATAATTCTTAAATAAATAATTATATATCCAGATCACGAATTTTATTTTTGAAATTATTATAATATTATTATAATACACTCTACATTCATAGTAAAATATACACTCCAGTGCATTCGTAAAAATTTTTGGAGAGTGTACTGACTATTTAATTAAGGATAGTAGATTTATTTTTATGGGAATTATCAAAATTAATAGGAACAAGGGCTGTTTAGTGTGAATTAAAATTTTATCTATCCTTTTTGATCATGTGTATATGTGTGTATATGTATGTGTGATAACATATTTTTCGGTGTTTTAAGAATTTTAATAGTTATTTTAAGAGTCGATTTGTCTGAAATAATCAGGGGATTATATGAGCATCAAAGATTCGAATTTTGAATATATCATGAATTAAAAGAATTAATTACGATAAACTTCTAAACCCAAAAATCAATATTTTCACTATTTTTGTACTAATTTTTAACTATTTTAATTCATACTAATTTCATACTATTTTTACTAACTTTTTACTAACTACTGCAAAGATAATTTTATATTATTATAAATTGTGAATTAATAAAAACTTCTCTTTTGAATTCCTCACTTAGAGCAAATATTCTTTAAATCACTATACCACGATCCGCCAAGCTCCCCTATACAATACTAATCTCTCTGAAATTAAAAACACTCAAATAACAATTACTCGATTAATTGTACATATTTATACGTTTGGAATCTTATTTTTCAAAGTGTCGTATTATAAGAGGATCGATATATATATAGAGGATCGTGGTGGATAATTGCAAAGATATGCATCTGGGCGAAAAAAGGTGGGTCCAGTATGTCCGAATCGAAGACAGAGATTGATCACGCACGGCTTAATCACCTACGAAGCGAATGGTTAATCCAGGGGGGTGGGAATGCAGCCGAGGGGTGGAAAAATGCATCCATGGCTGACGAGGTTAATTAACAGGCTTGAACCGGGCCCGGCTGACAGCGCAAACAACCGTCAACGCGTCGTTTAATACAAACAACTCGGTTGCTCCCTTGCTCGTTAATATCGGTAATAAGAACGTGACAGCTCTCCGGACTAATCCGGCTCGGCTGTGAGACTGCGAAACGCGATCTGCTTCACGAAGACTATCCCGCCTGGCAGGTACAAATTGCCGAGGTAACTCCATCCTACAAGAATTTCAGAGACTTCATCCTGTAAGAATGACCGAAACGTCTCTTACTTCCGGAAGTGAAAAATGGCTGGCCATTCGTCACAGGGAACGTAGAGTCGGCTCGAACGATATATTAGCTCGTAAATTATCGTGTTTGCGCCACTTCACCTTGCTGACGTTCAGGACCGATTGCTGAGTGTGGATATTCAGCGATAGGTATTATTTAAGTTTCTTTTGAAAATAGAGAAACTCGAAATAGAAAGGAAATAAATAAATTTACAAGAGATGGTTAACACGTTGAATGCCACGCCAGTTTTACAGGGATTGCCCGTCGCGATTATTATGGTTGGTGTTCTATTATGGGATACATATAATTGTAGGTAGGATTTTTGGCTAAATAAGTATTAATAAATAATCCTACATTTTCTCCATTTTAGGTGCTATTTTCTAGAAAGTGTCAATCATTTTGTTTAACCCTTAACGCTCCAAGTGTGCCCCTCAGACACCACCGATGGTGTCTGAATTATAATTAATATAAATATTGTGATCAAAATTGTATTACTTCTGAGACGAATAGAGATTGTTTTGAATGACTTTGATATTATTATTTACGCGTCATTGTGGCATTTAAAATCTGACACTTAGAAACTTGCAAGTCGAAGTATGATGAGAGTAAATTGGCGTTGCCGCTCGATATACATAATTAAAAGTCGGAGCGTTGAGGGTTAAAATAGTTTATCGCGAGTTGTTTTCATTATTTAACCCTTGCACTCGAGAGGTGAGCTTCAGTCATCATTTTATAAAATTTGGACGATCGATATTAATTAATATATCAAATTTAATGTAATAGTGTGCGAGGTATCGAAATCAAATAATTCTAGAATTCTATTATTGCACAATTCTATATTTACTGTTCAAAAAGTTATCGTCAGTATTTTAGTAGAGAATCTTCGAATTTCTAGTCTTCTCTAGCCAAAAAATCGTCGAGTGCAAAGGGTTAAATATTTTTATTTAAATATTATAGAATACCGTTTCGAAAGAAATCGCGAATCGGCCATTGCCAACGAAAACAAATTATAGACCGATCAATATTTTCAAGAAGCAAATGGAAAAGTTATTTTGGGTAACAAAATTAAGTTGCGTGGTAACTACGGGGAGGTGAAGCGTAGGTTAAGAAAAGCATAAGAGCAGGGTCCTCGACGACCAAAACGGAGTCCTTAGAAATTAATTGTGACCGATACGAGCGTGAGTCGTTCGGTGTTGGAAAAAGAGTTAAATTAGAGTGCGTTTTTGTGTATTTTCGTTGTACTATCTTTGTATTCTTTTCCTAAGTTAAATTAGTTTTATGAGTTTTGTGTTCGTGTTATTCTGTTCTTGTTGTTCACATTATCTTTGTGTTCTTTTCCTAAGTTAAATTAGTTTTATGAGTTTTGTGTTCGTGTTATTCTGTTCTTGTTGTTCTGACAGTTTTTGGTGTCTCAAAACCATTTTACGCCATCCTACGATATGCTAATGTGTTATTAATGTGATATTGGTGTCCATTTTTATCCATATTTTCTTCATTAATATCTCTAATTACTCTACTTATAATTACTTACATTCGTTTAATCGAGATACAAAAATAGCGCGTGGATTTTGATACATTTACCCACAATCACTCTATTCCATACAAAGAGACGAGGTACCAATGTTTACATTAACTTCTTCGTGATCAGTTAAGTGGTCTGTAGTTATTGGACTACTTTCTTCAGCTTCTTACTCAGTTATTATGGGCTCTTGAAAGAACGTGCAGGATTTGCACTGTTCCACTGTTCCATAAAGAGCTCCATTTAATCATTGGGTCTGGGAACTGTGAAGTCGGCCCTGATCTGATCACGTACTCGTCATGTTAGATGACAACGAAGTATAGAGTAAAATTAAAGATACCTAAGTTACCGAGTACGATCACGTGTATATGTGTATGTATGTGTGTATGAAGAGAAAAATAGCGGGTAATTAGGAGATAGGTGCTAGGAGATCTGTAGGATGCTTCTTGCTAAGTCTCCTGGGGAAACACGAGGTTGTTTTCGTGGTTTTTGATCCTACTGTTACCAATTTATTACCACTAAATTCTGTTTCGTTTTTCGAAGGCTCGAGAGAGCTCGAATTTTCTGTGAAACATCGTCCAGGGTATTCGCCAACTGCGGAATCTATCAGTGTCCCAAGAAATTGATCGAACATCGAGATATATCTCGACTTTTTATCTCGATAATCGAAATATTTGTACGATAATTCTTACTATTTTAAAAAATTATTCGTAAATCACTGCCATACTTAATTCCCAAATTAATATAACCTCAATTTCACTTCGAGTTTATTGACAGGGAGTTATTTGACATCACGTTATCATTAGTGTCACAAAAACAGTAGTTACTACTCGAAAATTAACGCGTGAACCAAATATACATTTATTAAGACGCGTAACTCGACAGCGCCATCTGTCTCGACGCGACAGCAGCGCCATCTAGACACTCGTTGTTCGCCCACCGATTAAAAGAGGTTAAAAAAGACAAAGGAAATAGAAAGCAAGGTAGAAAAATAACAAATAAAGAACACATATATTTGAGTCGGTCACTGCACAATTCGATTGACTCCACTTTTTGAAAAATCTTAAATTTAAGTATGAAAACACTTGGTATAGTCGTAACTTTTTATATTTAAGATTTTTCAAACAGTAGAATTAATCGATTTGTGCAGTGAACGGCTCATTTATACCAAATGTTAAAGTATCCTGTCCATGTATGACAACCTAACCTCTCTCCTGTTCTCCCATCACTCGCGGTGCACGCATTCCGGATCGCGAAGGGGAAACAGTTGGGCCAGAATCCTACGTGTTAGCACGGTGTGTAATTTACTGAAACTGGACTGTATCGGTTTTCAGATATCGCCGGCGGTTACCTGTGCTTTGTCGTCAGCATATTCGGGATCGGTGTGGTGACGGCGGTAATCGGAGACGTGGCATCCTACTTTGGCTGCACCCTGGGCATCAAGGACTCGGTTACCGCGGTGGTTTTCGTCGCACTTGGCACCAGCATTCCCGGTAAGTCGAGCACCAGCGTGTTCCCACGGGGAAAGCGTTCCAAAACAAGGGAACACCGCGAGCAATTTTCAACCGGCGACGGATTTTCTACATGACGGACCCCCGACAGGCGATAAGTCCTTTTTTTCAGCCGCGGCTAAGAAACAGGGAAAGAAGAAGGGGTGCAATTAGCGGTAATTGCGTGGCGGCTGTTTCACGCGCGAGAAGCATGCGCGCGCCCAAGGACATCGCGATGGATTTTTCTGGATCCAGAAACGCGAGGACGAACGGCGGATTAGCCCGCTTTTCAGCGAGAGGAACATTTTTCCTCGCCCGAAACCTGAGAGCACTTGAGCGATCAGTGTGCTCGTTCTCGTGTAAACAGTTTGGAAAATATGCAGATCGGGAATTCGAATCCTCGGTAGTTATCTCTCTTCAGTGAGAGAAGCTTGAAACAGAGGGTGTCGGGAAGAGTTGTTGGGAAGAACGAGTTCCTCAGGACCAGGGCTCCGTTCTTCCTCCTCTCTCCTCCCTTTTCCAACCGCTTTTTGCCATGGATCCTCGAACAGTGTGGTGGCAAAGGCAAGGAATCGACTTCCAGCGGACATATTGGAACCACGTGATCAATCTTGCAGAAGATGGCGTCGCTTTGCGAGCCGTTCCGTCTGCCATGGTCGAAATACGCTCTCCCTGGGGCCTCCTGTCGCGATGCGAACCGGACCTAGTCTCGTGACACTCGGAAAAACGTCACACGAGGATCTTTTCCTCGCGACGAGGCTTGAAAATTAAAAAGGAAGCATCGGGAAGCTCGTGAGAGGGGTATTTGTCAGAGATATTGGGGGTACGGTGATATCGCTGTCCAACTGGAATTTTAATCCGTGAATCCATTAGGCAATTCTTGCAAAACCCTCGAGGAATCTCGAAAGCTTTCCAAGTGTCCCGCGACTGCGTTCTCGCAGCCTTTATTAGATCCTTTGCTTCCGGTTAGATGGTAATTAGGAACACGTGTCGGACAAAGCGGGAACGGGACTCGGAATTGAAATAAGGCGAGTAAATGGCTGGTGAATTTTTTAATTAAACACGATAACGTTACTTTCGCGGCACGTTTACCCCAGCGAGCTTCCTCTATTCAGAGGCGGCCATTCAGCCGGGTTCGCTCGAACGCGTTTATTCCCGGACAGGGAGGAGAGGGGAGGAGAGCTGGAAATTTGTAACGGAGCGGTCAAGACGGCCTTTTTCAGCATGCGCGGCCTCTTTTGAGTAAAATCAAGTATCAGCTTATTGTGCCGGAACGGAGGGAAGCCGCGATAAGCAGGCCTCTTTCAGCGCTTTTCAAACCGCCGGGCCCCTCGCCTCCGCCATTTTTTCCCCTTTCAAGGCTCGTTTGTTCGCCGCAAAGCCGGCCCGGAAATTTCTTTCCAAGCTGCCTCTCCAGTGCGGATGTTTTCTAACGAGCCCACCTCGCAGCGTGTGCATGCGAATGTTGAAATGGAAAAATTCAGCCAACGGCTACCCTTGAATTTTCCAGGCCTGTGGCGCCGCCTGGCGGCGTCTAGGCGTATCAATTCTCGATCGACTGCCCATTGGAGTCCGTGCTTTCGGTTGTGAGGACCCCGATGGGGTATAAGTGGAAGAGTCTCTCATTTTTCAACGCGAAACTGTGCTCGAAAATAAAAACCTTGGACCTTTTTTGGACGAAAAATGGCGAATTAATGGGTTTCTAATGGCGTCATTGAAAACTAACCTAATTTAACCACGATCAACCCAACGACGTCCAAAAATTAGAAGGTTGCCATAAAGCAATGTAGGAAGGTTATTTCGACGATAGTAAAATTCCCAACTTCCAGGTGAAGTGAGCCGGGTCTTAGATTACCATGCTCGAGAAGAGCTTTGGCCTAAATTTACTTTCCTCGGGAACGTGCGTCGAATTCGTCGAAAGGAGGACCAACGTGCACGACCTTCGCAGAGCGATGCGGAACGAGCATAATTGCTGCAAACCGGGCCAACGATGGACCACGAAAATGCAAATGTGACTCGGGGTACCGCGATAAAAGCAGCACAGGCTGATTTATACCGATAATCATACGCGCATAACCACGGACGCTTGTTGACGTGCATACGCCAACGCACACAAACCGGTGACAAACGCGTTTGCACCCCGATGCCCATGGTTTTCACGCGAGGATGCGTTTCCAGGACGATTCTATCCGCTTCCGCGTGACACCCGGCCTTACCCTGGAAAACAAGCCGACACCGGAGACGTTTATTCTCGTCGACGAAACCGTGAAATTCACCCCCGATCACGCTGCTCACGTGACCCCTAATTCCCACTGTGACACGGAACTTGCCTGATATGGGTATTGACTGCGTTTTCACTGGGATAAACACGATTTTTGTATTTTTGAAAGCTGGAAGATGCGAAAAGTGTCGAAGGGCTTTGCATAAAGGACGATTGACCCTAAAATTCGACGAAATAGTGAAATTCACACGTGATTACGCTGTTTCGTGACTACTAGTTTTGACACTGACATGGAACTTGCCTGATATGGATATTGGCAGCGTTTTCACTGGGATGGACGCCATTTTTGTATTTTTGAGAACTGGAGGATGCGAAAAGTGTCGAAGGGCTTTGCATAAAGGACGATTGACCCTAAAATTCGACGAAATAGTGAAATTCACACGTGATTGCGCTGTTTCGTGACTACTAGTTTTGACAGTGACATGGAACTTGCCTGATATGGGTATTGGCAGCGTTTTCACTGGGATGGACGCCATTTTTGTATTTTTGAGAACTGGAGGATGCGAAAAGTGTCGAAGGGCTTTGCATGAAAGACGACTGACCCTAAAATTCGACGAAATAGTGAAATTCACACGTGATTCCACTGTTCCCGTGACTCCTAATTTAAACAGTGACACAGATATTGTCTGATATAGGTACCGAGTGCATTTTCGCTTGGATGGTCGCGATTTTCATATTTTTGACAACTAGAAGATGCGAGAAGTGTCGAAGGACTTTGCATAAAAGATGATTGACACTAAAATGCAACTGTGATCTCTCGATTTAAGTTCCTAACTTTGACACGGAGAGATGTCAATATACGTAACATACTAATTTGTACAGACAGTGAAGATCTTGCCCGATATTTTTATCCAAGAGTGTCGTCCCTGGAATAATTTCGAACTTTAAATTTCTAGAATAATATTATATAAAATACGATTATTCTACTACGACACGAACTGGTCCTCAAATCTCCAAAGCAGATACTAGAGAATACAGTCCCTATCTCCAAGCCTGTATCACCCCTAATTTCAACATCCAATCAGGATACTACCCGATACGGGTACGTCGTCATATAATATCAGCATTGCAACAATGGCAATTGTAAGATCTAAACGTGAAGATAAATATTAAGATGATTCTACTGCAAAGAATGACCCAAAATCGCGACTATTCCTCTGTAACGATGCAGAACGAGGATGCATTTTTCAAAAGGGCCTAGGTAGACATTCGGAAGAACATGGTCGAACGATGATCGCTGAGAAGGGGAATTTATCAAGGAGTCGATGAAGCCCCGCCCTTGCTGGCTTGTTCCGTATTCAAGCAGGATTTTCGGGGTTACTATATAAGGTGGCTGGTGATATGCGGCAGAGGTAGACCAAGCTTGGTGATAATTTATTGCTCCTAGCCTTTGTGTGCTCGAACAATGCTCGTACTTCGAGGTCGTGCCACCCCGCCAGCCTCCTCTATAGACGGAACGAACCTTTCCACGCTATCGGATGAAAACTGTCCATTGGTCCGAACCCTGCCTCCGAATCTCTCCGGAAGACGTTTTGTCCCAGAGGAAGGAGCAAATGTCGCCCATGTGTCACCTTCTGCGACGAGACTATGGTTACAATATTACCCCCTTCCGGGTTGGTCCACTGTCGAACCACGACTCCGTAGAATCTTCCATTTGCTTGCTTGGTCTCGAAACGCGGACTAGCTCATCGATTCGGGAATAATCGCAGATGCTGAGCGCGATAACGGTTATTAAAGGCTCGGCGAGAAGTCGATAACTGGACCGTTCCATTTCGGTGGCTTTTATTTAGCTAGGGATTTATAGTCGGCCTTGATCGGCTGCGCCATTACCAGATGAAGCTGCTAAATCGAAGCAAAGCAACGAAATTGGGGCTATCCAATTGTATGCAGCGCGGAAACCAGCCTAATGATCAATTGTCTGTCCTATCTTCTCATCCTGGACCAAGGCAAACGAACGAACCTTTCACAACTCCCTTCACAGACATCGTTGCTGGTTTAAAGACGACCATATCGTCTCTAATTGGCACGCAATGTGCACCAATGTCTCGGGTATCAGCCATGAGTCAATGGATTCTTAGTAAAAGCACGATGCCTCCTCATACCTATCCTTAAGTCATCACATCACCTGTGTGAAGCCGATCTTATCGTCCATAGTCAACGTCCGAAATGCACTAATGACTTAGGAGTCAATCCTGAGTCTATGGATGTCTCTTGTCATCTCTTCAAACCTTTTCCTATTACATCATTGAATACGAAACCCAAACCAGATATGCATCATCTGAAACAAACCAAAATCCACCGATAGCCAATCCTGAGTTAATCAATATATTCCAAAACATACTCCTTCCCTGCCATACAGAACTGCACATATATGTAGAGATCAAGGTGGAGATGCTGAATGAGGTATTGAAACGAAGACGTTATCCCGTGAATCTCTGACAAGACTGTATTTATTTCGTGGTACCAAGTGCATCGCTATTCTTTCGAATTGACGACTCGCTGACTTGTGCTGACTCTTACTAACGACTAGCTCCTTGACTAACTCTCTGACTAACTGACTGACTGATTAGCTAACTCCGTGACTAACTGACTCGACTTCTCAACACGGTCTTTTTAACCCTGTCCTAAGACAAGCGCCACTCCCGAAGGAGGAGAAACTCCATCCACGCTAAGGTCAGTGGTGAAACCCTCTTTGAAACCCCTTTGTCGTTGTGCTATTCGTAACTATACGTAATTATCCGCGTTATTATTGTGGAGAATCCTCCCACACGATTGTTGAAGTCGTTCAGTGGCAGGCAGCCTCGATGTGGCAGTGAAGCTAGTCACTCCTCGCATCGGGGTACCTGCGACAAGCTGACATCAACAAAAGTAGGGAAGGACTCTCTACAAACCTAAGAACTATCTTATATTGGAATGCGTGTTTGCCTATGTATAGAGAGGCACGAATACTATACAGCTTTTGGCTTTAAGTAGGTAAGGTGCAAGAGGTGGACTAGATAAAGAAATAAATTCTACCTAGCAGGCCCTAGACCCTTTGACGACTAGAAGAATTTGGAAGTGATATATATATAGGAAACGAAGGATTTTTACCCAGCACTTGCGAGAAAATCCTCGACTTTCTTCGAGTATGAATCCACCTATCGGCGAGGATGAGAATGATACCGCTACAGTATCAATCTCCACAATTCTACACGAAAGTTAGCCAAACGCCGTTTCTTAGAGTCACCCAGAGGTAATTATCCCGTGACACCTGCAACCTTCCTGGATGGAATGATAGGAACGCGCTATTTTTACATCCCGAGTGGATCCTAGCCGCAGGATTTTTAAGATGACAGCCACTCGGGAGGCTCGTAATTCGACAGGGAACATGGGCCGTCTCATCCAACCTTGTTCTACAACGATCTCGTCGGTTTCACCTGTGTCCCACCGGCGCTGATCTCCTCATCCACCCCGTCACACCCAGCTGCGTGGAAGCTTGCGGGCCTAAGGCGCGTCTAGCCGCTGAATATTCCCCGGAATATTCCGACGGTCGATTTATCGACGTAGATTCGCCGTAAGTAAGCGGAAAGCGTCGGGTTAAACCGGTGGATGGATGAAAGGAAGCCGGCGATCAAAAGAGGCAACAAACTGAAAGCGAAGTTTCGTTTGGAGCCACGGCGGAATCAAAGCCGATCCTCGAAAGTTTCCTACAAAGGCGACGACATGGTCTAGAATGCCGATTCGGGAAAGAAGTTGGACGGTCGGATGCTGGCTGGGTCATAACCGTGTTCGAAACTTATCGATGGACGTCGTTTCGGCGGACGTAACTCCATTGCTGGGATGTTTCACGAGCAGGACTCTCCCTTCTCTGATATCTTTCTTGGGGGTGAACGAGCGGCTTACAATAAGAGAATATTCCCATGTAGGAAGATTGTGGTAAGGGAAGCTTGGCTTGGACCAGGCATGTAACTCGCGCATAAATATTGATGAGATTGTACCGGCGAGCAAGTTTCCCGGCGCTCATAAAAGTAGGGGACGCGTCGCTGGAAAAGCCAATAGTTACCCAAATAATCCTCCAGCCGTGAATTATACAAATTTTCGCCATATCGAACCGCCCTGCAATTGATTCCGCGTGACCTGAATCGAAGTGGAGAATCGGTGAACGCCATAATCGTTCCCTTCTAGAACCGTGTTGGGCGAGAAGATCATGCTAGGGGATTTGGAAGTGAAGTAGTCTCGTATTGGTCAGACAGACGGTTAATCTGAGAATGGTGACGTTCGTCGAATTGACTTTTAGCAGTTGTGGTAATGTCCATCAGAGTGACTCGAAGTCAAATTGACTTCCTGTCAGTAGAGGTAACTTGACTTCCAATTGACACCGTGTCGTCAGTGATAAGATCTGAATATCTACAGTACGTCCAACGAGACAAGATACCGAATACCAGGACTGCATGTGGTAAGTGCATCATCAGATCAGGGGCGATTTCATAGTACCCAGATCCAATGATTACAATTTTTTGGAACAGTGGGACAGTGTGAATTCTGAACGTTTTGTCAACGTTCTGTCAATTTAGCGGGTGTCGCTTCTGAAGCTTAAGAAAATAGACCAATCACTGTCTGAAAACAACCTCTTCGTACCTAATTGTACAGAAAAATTTGGGAAACCTGAAAACCACGTACACGTAACTCTCCACCTCCGACCAGTCATCCCCAAAACCCACCCTTATCGATACAACCATGATCACAATTCGCGAGCTAATAAAAATACATCCACAGGATTAGAAGATACTGCACACCACGAAGTCATGGAATTTTTAAAAAAATTTTTGGAAGAATTTAGAAGATAAATTGGAACTGTCAAATATTAATAACGCTTTAGCACCCTGTCATGGACTTTCATAACTACGTCGAAGTTTAGAGTGTGGATAAATGTGTCAAAATATCAGGAAACTTGAAATCACTGTAGAGACATCCTCTTCCTCCTTGAACATTAATTTATTCGACAATTTATTCAACGATTGCCTCGATAAAATTGAGATGGTGATCTATGATCTATATATTGAAACTCGAAGGAGAAGGTTTGCGACATGGCGAGAATTTTTCTGAATTATCTTAATCGCGAAGGGAAACGATAGCGATGTTAAAAGTCACGAAATATGCAAATTGCCCCGATAATGAAATTCGCATTGCCTAGCCACGATAACCAAGCCTGCTCCATTAAAGTTCTCAAGGGTGCGTGTTGTACTGCCTAGCGAGATGGTTCTAATTAAAAAGGAAACAACTGGACCATCTCTTCCTTTCACGAAAACCTCTGCCATAACGAATATCTCCATCCGATGCTAAGTAACATTAATCTTCCTGGCTTTAACCTACTTCCGTCGTACGAAATAAAGAAAAATATACCCTCGTCAGATTCTTTTTATTAAATTAACTTCAGGAATATTACGAATCCCAAAAATTTGATATTCCGGTGACTTCTGAAGGATGAAAACGAAGAAAAACGATCTCACATGTGTATTTCCTGCATCGATTACTTTTTAATAAAAATCTGAACTCTGTAACGAAGGAAAAAATTAAGAATTATAATATGCTCCGACGGCCAACAAAATTCCGAGTATGCCTACGCCAATGGTGCAGACGGATTAAATCTCTTTACACACGATAGGCGCACTTCAGTCGCCATTTTATAAAATTTCGAAGATCGATATTAATTAATATGTCAAATTTAAGATAAGGTAACGGCCTTGTGAGTAAGGCTTTCTAACAGGCCCTGTGATGGAAGATACTTATGTGACATAGCAACTTGTATTTATGGAAGCCGAGGATTCACCGAGGACTTGCGAGAAATTTCGAACCTCCGTTGTCCATCTAGCGGTGAAGATGTGAACTTTGGTCACTACAAGTAACGAGATCAAATAATTCCACGTGTTAATTATTACACGATTTCTTATTTACTGCTGAAAAGAATATTCTCAGCCTTACAGTAGAAAATTTGTCAACTCCTACTCTTGTTTAGCCAAAAAATCGTCGAGTGCAAAGAGTTAAACGATATACGAATACATAACCTCAAAAAAAGAAGAGACAGAAATCTAAATCCAGGTGCTCGTAAAAATTCCATAAATGACGCAACAGGGACGTAACTAACAATGGCCATACCATTCGGATAAGAGGAAAACGCGGTCATCGATAATTCATGTTGTCCCTGTGCTTCCCCGAACTTGGTCAAAATATTCGGACCTAGATCGAGCGACGAATAATCATAGTCGTTTACGGTATCGGATGCGTGAAAGTTTTCCGGGTGAAAGCTGGCTATATATAGTCGGTTAGAGGGTGGCTGGCAGCTGAAATGAATCCGTGCACACGCTGCCGGATTTAATCCGAAGGCATACATACACGGATAAGTACACCTTCGGCCATTCACGTCAGCTGGCTCGCGCATCCGTGTACACGGTGTTCCCGTCGCGACAGTACCGGTACAACGACCAATAATAACAAGAACCGTCGAAAGTAGCGGCGACGCATATGGCGAAACATATTCCCGATTAAATACCGCAGCTAGCTTGGATATCCGCTTTTGGAAACGTACACGCTTTGCACGAGCCTCGCTAAGTATGTTTACCCGGCCGACTCGTTGCCGGCAGCCATTACGGAAGTTACGCTCCCGGGGAGCTGAACAGCGAGCGATTATCAGGGAGCTTAAAATCGGCGGCGAATTTTCCCTCAAATTTTCCCGACGTATACCTATCCACGGGTCGAAGACATTCGCCAGAAGGTAAGAAAAACGGTGGAGTTACGCGGTAGACGGAAAAAGTTGCTCGTGCGACTGCAGCGCCGCCTACCGCGCTGATGGAAAGTTCCGGCGTACGGAAATAACATTACTTACCCGCCCAGACGCATCAATGGCTGCCGAAACTCGCACGGTCGTTCCACACGCGCTACTTCCATCTCCACCACTCCCGAAATCGTTGACGAATGAACCACACACTCGAAACTTTTCGCGAAACCCGATGACCGCGAGTGTTATGGAACGTTCGACCGTGTTACACGTTCGTTAGGTTATATTAGTATTCCGCGTGTATTCGTCGTTACGACGCTCCGGAGCGGGTTTATAACGGAGCTGAACGCGACGGACCCGTAACCGTAAACTGTAAACTGCTATGGACGACGCGTCCGAGCTATGCCAAGGCATGGCCGCAAATCGCGGTACGCCACAGGCTTTGAGCGCTTCCGTTGGAGCCTCGCCTCGAGACACGGCACGTTTCGCCGCGTAACGTCCCGAATCCCATGCATACTGGCGATAGATCGTAATAGAAAGCGATTACATGTCGTACCACGTGACTCATACGAGCGAGAACGATTGGCGACCGATAGACCCAATGCGAGACAGGAGTGGGGGTAACAGGGGAGAAAACCGAAGCACGAATGAGGAGCGATGCGGTGAAGAAGGAAAATCTAAGCATGTGACTTTATTGCAGACACGTTCGCGAGCAAGGTGGCCGCCTGCCAGGACAAGTACGCCGACGCGAGCGTGGGGAACGTGACCGGAAGCAACGCGGTGAACGTCTTCCTGGGGATCGGCATTGCATGGAGCATCGCGGCCATTTACCATGCCTGCCAGGGTGAAAAGTTTTCAGTAGAACCGGGCAAGTCAGTATCGATTTATCTTTACTTTTCCATGTTCTGCTTGTGCAGGTTGTTTCAAAGGAAGAAGCTGAGAATAGAAAATAGAAGGAGCGACGTGAACGCGTGTCAGAATTTTCACTGGTTACTGACCGCTGATTTTGGAACAGCCTGTATGCGCGTTGAGCTTCACGATTCTACCGCGAGATCGCGCCGCGTTTGCTCCGTGGGTAAAGAAAAATTCGTTGTCGCGTAGACGCGATCCGCGTGAGTCGATTTTCGAGGTATTCGATACGAGGAAACTTTACACCGAGAAACACGTCGAACACTCGAATAAAGAGATCGACACGCTCTCCTCTAAACTTCGCCGGAGAAAAGGGTAAAAGTCAAAAGCACGGGCTTCCGAGTCGATTCGTCGTAACGAAGTTACAGACTTTCGAAAACAATACGAACTTTCGCAATTGGACAGTTTCGATCAGGAATAGCAGCGAGATCGTCCCGGTTACGGTGTTCCAAATGAGTGCGCGTTAATGTCCTAACCTCTCGAATTTTCCTCGTCGACGTCAACGTCGTGCACGGTATAAATATTCCGAACCGCGATTTCCACGAACGATAAAGCGTCTATAGTCCCCACCGTGTAGTTTCACGCGTAAACGTTTCACCGTGTCTCGCCGTGTAATGCAGATACGTTCCCGCGAGCATCCGCAGTCCGATCGTAAAAAAGCGAGTGGAATATCTCGCGAGCCATGAAATGAATCTCGATACTGAGAATGTTTCGCAGTCGGTACATTCGCGAAACAGGGCGACCGTTGTAAACGCGATTCAAAGTGAAAGATACTCATCTATACCGCGACGCATCGATGGCACAGAGTCGGATTAGAGTGGATGACACGAAATGAAACAATATCAGGTAAAACACGAGGACGTAGCCCCGATAACGGAACGTCGTTTCCCATTTACGAGCTCGAACGTTGGAAATGCTCTCAAGAAATTTGGTCGGAGATTGCAAGGGAAACTTGGCTGGCACGGTGCTTGTCGATTTATGTGCTGAAACGTGACCAGCGCCGGTGACAGTGTGCTCGCTCTAGAAAATTGTTATCCGTGACGTATCGGCAGGAATATTGTGCAGGACGTAATACGCGATACGGATATTTCCGAGACGTCAAATATCGGAACACGAACGGCGCTCGGGTCTGTAAAGAGCCGTCCAGGCATAAATTTCCGGATTTCGAAACATCGGCCGCCGGCATTTCTTTTTGGGAATCCATAGCGGAAGGCACACGGTCGTGTAACATTGTCAGTCATCGCTCGCGGCGTGATACATGCGGTCGTAAAGGAAACTCGTAAATAAAATTTTATATATTTCCCGATGAAATTAATTCGATAGAAATACAGCGTATATCAACATCGGGCTCTGCTACCGCGTTGTGAAATACAATCTCGCGTTGATAACAAAAGCCTCGAAGAGAAACGTTTGCACGAATACGCATCGGTTTGCAGTAAGAAATCAAGCTTCCGCGGGCCAACCATTCGGTAATAAATATTTACACGCTGCAGACTGCACGGTTCGATTGGTCTTGCGGTCGTAATCATGTATTCCCCGTGCAAGACGCTACGGATGCGTTTCTCTAGCTGTGCTCAATTTTCTCGGTTGCTAGGTACGCCGCTGATACCGGGACCTGCCTCGCATGAATTTCAACGCCGTGGAAAACGTATACCGTGTCTTATCCGTGCCCGCCCCTGCGAGCCTCGAATCCGCCCACGTTAACGTTCCGCGGAAATATTTCACGCGCGTAAAACCGAATTGTTTCGGGAGCAAACACCGACCAAGTCGTAGAACGGTTAACTATTTCGAATAGGGCGAAAACGAAACTATCGTTCGAGGAATAAATCGATTTTCAATCGGAACTGTCCAAAATCGATCCGTTGCGAAGTCGTATATCACTGGAACGGGGCAACAGATGCGCCATGAATAATCGGTACTGCAGAATCGTAGTTGCACGGTGCGCGCACAGATGGCGTTATAATGCTCTGGATCGTTTTTATACTAGCATATCGATCGATACGACTTTGCATCCGTTATCCGAAAACACGATATATCCATATACGATACGGTAAGCGAAAAAAGAACTGTGATTCATTTCACTTTACCAACGCGTCACGTAACTCTAGAACTTTTTCTAAAAATACACGATAATACACGAGTCAGAGTTCACGTTGAATACAAAATGAGTCTTTATCTATAGTCTCGAAGGGTATACATTATGGTAGGCAGTAGGTAGAAGGTAAAAGGTATTAAAGAAAGGTATTAATAAACGAAATATAATGATCTTTGTCACAGCTTGGCCTTCTGCGTAACGTTGTTTTGCACGGAAGCCTGCCTGGTAATCTTGGTTCTACTACTGAGGCGGACGAAGAGCATTGGCGGCGAACTCGGTGGGCCTTTCGTACCGAAGCTTGTCACGTCGTTGGTCCTTTTTTTCCTCTGGGTGTTCTACCTCATTATGTCGATCCTCGAGGCCTACGGCTATATCGAGGGCTTCTAAAAGGAGCCCGTTCAACGGCAAACGTCGGCCTACACCCGCTCCGCGTGTATCTTAACCTCTTCGCGTCCGCCAAGGCGTATGCTCAACAAAACGTTCTCTCGGCAAGTATACATTCCGTCTGTCAATTAGAACTCCCGCCACGATTTACGGATTGGGCTTTATTTTTATACTTTATATTTGTTTTGCATGCACGAGAAGGGTGAAAGAAAGAATACAAGAAAATCGTCTGACACGCGCTTGCTATGTATATGGATATGCGGATGGTGTTGGTCATGTCGCACGAGAGGCTGAGAGCTTAAATATAGCACATCTGGAACGCGTTGGTCCACGTAAACAGAGAAGAATAAAATTTTGTCTTCAGCTTCGCGTGACAAGTCTCGTCGACGAGACCCGCATCTCCGAGAATACCAAGCAAATGAACTGCAGCCCGGGAAGAAGAATGGGAAGAGAAAGAATGACTGGCAGGGAGACGACCAGCTCGCAGCTGCTCGAAAGGAACTCTTTATCTCACCGATTTATCGTTTCTCCTTTCAGGACAAAAAGGAAGTGGGATCGAAGGGGTGCGATTTCGCTGGCGAACGAACTCTCTGAACTGTGTGCCGGGAAACTACCGGTCTCACCCTCCCACCTGGGATGATTAACAACGAACGTGATCGCGTGACGTTATCGAATGCGTGTATGTGCGTAGGTACCTGAGAGCGTGAGAGTGAGAAAGATGGAGCGCGAGTATGCTTGAGAGCGAGCGATTAGTAGGACGGCGAAAAAGGAATAGATTAAATGAAACGAAACGAGAACGTGGGAGAAAGAGAGGATAAAAGGATGAACAAAGGAGACGCTAACGTGCGCGAGGTAGTAAAGTGAGTTTGCCTTAAACATAATTTAACGGACAACATAATTAAACATACGAAGGGACGTAGGTAAAAGAGAAACGCGTTCTAGTCTCGAGCCGTGGCACGTACGACCACGGCTGTTATCAAATAGGATGCAAGGAAACAAAACAGAAGGATATATTATATACATATATTATATATACAGACACACATACGTATAAATAACGTATTTATTTAATCCTTCAAGGAACACAGGTTTCTATGGTATTTTAGTAGCGAATTGTATTGCCATTCCTCTTTCGCCAGAGAACGATGTCGCTAATTTTATATAAACGTATATTATCATACGATACTCCTTTCGAACTCTCCTCGATGCTTTCGCGATCCCGCGATCGCGATAAGCCTCCGGGCGTGGTCATAGTGTTATATCAAAAGAAGTCGTAGATCGGAACCGATTTGCATCACAAAGTCCGAGTCGCGATCTTACAAAAGAATACTATACATAGGTAAATAAGTTGTGGATACATAGCCGCGGCAAGAGCGAGGCAGTGTGTACAGTGAAAGCGCGAATTTTTCCACAGACTCCCCCGCGAAGGGAGAAGTTATCTTCGGGAGAAGCGAAACGTTCGAGATCAGGATCCCTTAAAAGTTGTAAAATTTCCTTTCGAATTTCCAACCTTCTCGATTCGTGCTACACGATGTACTTATCGACTCGGTTGAATCGTCCACCGAATGCTGTTTTTATTTCAATCGCGTCCCGTTATTATTCGCGAACAAATCGAACCTCGAACGAGAAGCAAATGTTAAAGCGCGATCTCGATAATAAGCCAGCTCGCCGCAACGATTGCTTAGATCGTTACCACTGCGATGAAACATGTTTGCTATTTATTAAGAGTAACTAGGTAGTGCGACGAACGTAATTTAACTCGCGTTCACAGTGTGCTGCGGCCTTCGTTCGAATGTCGAAATTCTCTTGTTGGTGTTCACTGCCTTTGATCGAGGGTCGCTAATCCGTGACGCGTCAGGTAACGTAAGAAGAATTGAACGGACATTAGTAGAATGACGTAGAGAATGACGTACGATGTAGGATACGTCGGGTATAAAAACGCAATTCGAATATGAGAGGCTAATAAAACAAGAAGCGTCTGTAATAAAAATCGGCAGGCGTTAAGAGAGTAGCTGCTCCGGCGAGTGAGCAATTTCTTAAACCGTGTTCCGTGTTCAGCGAAACATTATTATGTGTCGGATGCTCGAAGAATCACAGTGACTTACTAAAACGTTCTCAGTGAGAACAGTTGTTCGATTAATTTTAGCGAAACGTTGTAAACGACAGCCAGCCGGCTGGAACTAGTTCGCGTCCTCACCGGGAAGGCGTCTAAAGCTTTAGAGCTGCATAGAGATTTAACTGACACTGCAAAGGTTGTAACTAATTAAAGTATTACTTTATTCTTTTCGCCGGGCCCCGAGATGATCGAGGATAACGTCTGCGTCAGCCTCGCGATACGGATCTCGATCGACTTTGGTCCTCGACTTTGGTCGCTCCGTCGCGGATTAAATATAAAGCTATCGTCGCGACTAATCCCTAAGGAGCGACAAAAGATCGAGGTCGTTAAAGTTTGCAGACGTAGCTGATGAACGATTCACGCTCTGAACGCAACGTGGAATGAATCTTTTCTCCCTGGAATCGCGCGTAATTAACGGGAAAGAGATAAAAGGCCAGTATACACGCGACAGACGAGCTTTCCTTTTCATCGGACGATATAATAGAACGGCGGCCGATACGGGGAGAAATTTTGTAACCGGAAGACATGTCTTCGGAGGCGTAGAACTTGCGAAAACCGCGTTTCACCGGGAGCGAATCAATCGCGAGTGATTTCCAAGTCGTTTGCAGGCAGAAAAACTAGAATAGAATCACATGGTCGTTACTTGAACAGAGTGAAAGGTCGAGAAGGAACCGTAGGAGGAATTATCGGATTGTCAAACGGAACTGGTGACCTGGAATTCTGGAAAAAACGCTCGTCAGTCCGGTAGCAAGCTTCTATTTCCTTTTGTGTAGAATCGAAAATTGGAATGTACCGCGAATCTCTTGCAGGGATAGCGTCTAGCCAGCATGAAAGCTGAAGTCTCTATCTGTATTTGCACAGATGTGTCTGATCTCTGAAATTTAAAGCTCGTTAACTCTGAAATCGTTCTTTCCTCGCTTATATACGAGAATATAATACCGTACACTCCATCGATTATCCGTTTCCAATATCGTTCATTGCGTTCGTAATGGTTCCCTTAACAGAGATTACGAAAAGGGAATATATCAGTAGTAAAGGTCAAACGGTCTCCCACAAACGAAAATCTTAGATGTCATTCGAGTTCTTTCGAAGGTCACTTCGATGTCAATTAAAGGTTACCTCGAGGTCGATTCAGAACCGTTTCGAGATCATTCAAGGTCGCGTCGAGGTCATTTCATCGTCGTTCAAGGTTGATTCAACGTCATTTATAAGCCACTTCGAGGTTTCTCAAGGTCGGAACCAAAGCTGCTCGTGAGCAGTTCAAGGTCATCTCGATGACGCTTCGAGATTAATCCAGTCAATCCAACGTCGTTTAGAGACCTCTTCGAGATTTTTCAAGGTCATACCCAAGGTCAAGACGAAACTCGAAGATCAATTCAACATTTCCTCAACGTCCTCCCGGAGGGCAATTTCAAAGTCAATCCTAGGTCGTTTCAAGGTCATTCCAAGATCGTTAGAAAGTTCAGCAAGGAATACACGCACACCGTTGTTGCTGGAATAAGTTTAACCATAACCAACCTCTGAGACAAAACACCGATACTCGACGAGCGAGTACCAAACGCACACAAGAAAATTGAAGCTATCATTCTCGTTCAGTGTTCTCGCCAGTTCGACGAAGGCTACATTCGTGTTCGCGATATCCCCTCGATGAATTCCGTTCTTCGGCAGAGGAAAACACGAAATTCCCCTTGCCCCGCGTAATTAACCATTCCCGATTTATCGGGTATCCACGGGACACCGTTCGAGGGAAGAACAGCTCTGTCTCTCGCGAGAAAAACCACGATCGTCGCAAAGCATTTGATCTCTGCTCGAGGTGTTTGCTCTCGGATCAGGAAGATCCTCCGCAAACTTGGGCCACGCACCGCGCCAGCTCTAAGAATTCCTCGACAGCCAGACATACTTCGCGTCGAGTTTCGCCGGGAAACACTTCTCGTTTCTCTCGACGGGAAGAAGGTAGCCACGCGAAATTAAAATCGCGAGGAAGCTGCGTACGTAGCGACCGCCGTTGTAAAGCAATCAAGAGGTGATTCGGGCAAAGTAGATCACGAGTCTCGCGCATGGTCGTTCATTAAACGAATCTCTGCCTTGACCTTCGCGTTAATCCGCTTTTGACCATTCATTTCGAGGTTCCGTAACTGGACGTCCGCGACACGAAGAGAATGGACGAGTCGAAGGGGGACGAAGGCGTGGGTGGTCCTGGTCGAACGCCTTCCTTCCCGTCTGCCTGCAAACGACGGTACCGGGGTCAAGCAACACGCGATCCCTCGTAACCCTAGCCAATTACTCGAAACACCGTATTCCAGCCTTCCGCGGGAACATTACTGCGTACGTCTTTACCACGAGGTATCGCGTTTTATTTCACTCCATTAGGCCACCAGGACTGGTGTCGGTAGCGTGAACGAAATTTGGAAAGGAATCGAAGAAAAGCAGGTGAAAGCAGTGAAAGCATGAGACGAAGGAGGATTTCGTCGCGATTTCAGCCAAAGATCGTAACAGATATACATATGTACGTATAAAGGAGAGAAGTATATAGCGTATGTATACATACGACATAGATATTTTAATAAGAAAACCGTTCAAAGAGATTTAATATATATATACATGTATAAATATATACATACAGTAGGGCGTATATAGACGACACTCAATAGCAAAGCGTTGAAGTGATAAACCGTAAATGGGATCCGAAACGTTACCAAGTTCTCGAGATCGGCTGCTGGCCGAACGATCGTCATCGATGTAAGAGATCGAACCGCTCGGACCGCGAAGATCGTCGCGATCGACCGAGGAGAGGAGGAAAATGACAAAAGGAAGAAAAGAAAATACGTCGATTTCTGTTCTGAACGAGGTGCTTCGTCGCGACCACGCGTTCCGCCATCGCAAAATGGCGCGCGCGTGAAAATACGTTCTGCTACTAAGTACCTGATTCATCCCTTCGATTTG